AGCTTCCATGACCTTTCCTTGTACAAGTTGTGCCAGCTTCCCCAGTATTGTGTACTGTCTCACCCTTCATCATGGGTGATAGTCTTTATTTTATGAGCCAATCTGTTATTTAGCTAAAAAGGTGACCTCAAGCAGGGACAGATTACCCAATAAGCAAGGTAAGAATGTGCTTAAGGCGTCAACATAACAGGGGCACCAGTTGTCCTAAAGCAAACACCCATCGACACCAAGCAGACAGGACACAAGGAAAAGCGAGTGCCACAGTGGAAGAGAACTAGCAGGGCACTGAATGAGACCGGTACCATTTTATAAATTTTGTATACAATGAAGGTATTCTCCTTTTCGTTTCAGACTGATAAGGTGTAACCTCACATTCAGTTCTCTTTCTTCGACCACATAAGAAGGTGCCAACGGCAGTATAATCATGTGACTCGTGACGTATCCGGTCCTGCGAACAGTGACCCGAAACGCGTCTTCAGATGGAGCGTACCCTTGTATTTGTATCACGCTGTTTGTGGTTGCTCTCGCCCCCGTCGGGTATCAGCAGTAGGCCAGTGAACTGTGAAGATGCAGCATCAAAGGACGGAAGAAGTGAGTGCACAGGTTTTGTAAGTATTATTTAAAGAGGAAAAACACTGGTGGAGATCTGTGAAGGATCCACCAACAAACATCTTAACGACAAAAGAATGAAATTATTTCTGAATGCCTTGTAAGCACTATTTCTTTTGACTATCTCAGACCTGAATAACTAAATTACATGTTCCAAATCAAGTTTTTTACTTACTAATTTTCAAATATAAATTTTTGTGTTAAGGTCCAAATTCAAATGTAAATTTTATTTTATAAATTTTACTCGTTTTATAAATTTTATTTTCAATTATTCAAGTTTATTTGCTATGGTGGAACCAAATTTTAAAAGTGACATAATTTTATATCCAGATAAATGAAATGGCAACAACTAAGTGGAGCGCAAAAATGAAAGCTTGTGGAAGGTAAAAGGAAAAGGATTTATGAATCCCTAAAAGACAATTCCAAAATTAACTTCCTTTTTAATGAAATCACAAGACTTCTTTCATTGAATGCTTGAATTGAATGGGTGCAAATTGTTGTACTAGTACAGCTAATGCTGAAGTTACCAATAGCAATACAAACATAACATTCATTTCTTGCTGTTGTAAAAAAAAAATTAATAATGGTATAGAAAGTGAAACTATTTTAGAATCTGAAATTGTCCCATCTGTAGACCCCATAAATGACAAAAATATAGATCCTGCTTTGTGGAATAATTTTTCTTTTAATAATGTAAACTACCGGATGAAAGAGGCCCAAGTGATTGTCAGCATCACAGCGGACCATTTGAAAATTCATGTTGAAAATTTCTTTATGGTAAACAAACAAGGTTCTGTAGCCAGAATATATTTCCAGGGTACAAAGCTAATGGTGAAAATTATAAGAGGGAGTGGCTACTGTATTCTCCATCAGTTGGCTCTCTATATTGTTTCGTTTGTAAACGATTCCGTTGTAAATCATTGAATTCCCAATTTGCTACGAATGGATTTAGTGATTGGCACAACTTGAATATGACTGATAGACATGAAAACAGTTCAGTTCACAGAGATTGTATATTGTCGTAGTTAAACCGAAGGCATGGTTTTGGCTTAACTCATGAACTGCAAACACAAATGAATGAAGAATGTCAGTATTGGAAAGCTGTTTTGCAATGCAATGTTGCTGTCATTGTGACAATTGCTGAATATGGACTGTATTTTCGAGGAAGAAATTAAGTGTTTGGGTCCCCATAAAATGGAAATTTTGGGGGTTTACTTGAACTTGTTTCTCAGTTTGATCCATTTTTAGCCGATCACATCTCAAAATATGGTAACACAGGAAAGGGCAAGCCATCGTATATGTCTAAAACAACATGTGAAGAATGAAGAAACTTAGTAAGCGATCAAGTTTGATCAACTATTTTCAGTGAAATGAGTATACCTCGATATTTCAGTTTGTCTGGAGATTATACTCCTGATCTTTTTCATACAGATCAGCTAAGTATTGTTTTAAGATACATATCTCCAGCAGATGGAAAACCTGTCCAGTGATTTATCACATTTACTAGCTTAAAAAGTCATACCAGTGAAGAAATTGCAGATCAAGCATTTCACTGTTTTTGTGAAGTTTGCAAAATTGATTTTCTAAGTGCAGAGGCCAGTCTTATGACAGTGCTGCCAATATGTCAAGGCGTTATAAAGGCATGCAACGAAAAATTTTAGAATGGAATGAATATGCCATGTTCATTTACTTAATCTTATAGGACATAGCTCAGTAGATTGTTGCCCAGAAGTAGTTGAATTATTTTTTCTACTGTTCAGTTACTGCACACATTTTTTTGCCACCTCTACTCACTGATGGGCAATTCTTAAAACATATTTAGGCAGTGATGGAGTATTAAAATGTCTTTCTAATACACGTTGGGAAGCGCTGTAGCAATGAGTGTAATTCTGGAATCATACACTCAGATTCTAGATACCTTAGAGAATATTGCTGAAGATCAGACAGAAGAAGGAGATACCATAAGAAAAGCTGAAAATATCGCCAACAAAATGCAGACACTAGAGTATGTATTTATGTTGGTTATATGGAATAATATATTGTAGCATTTTCATCAGATGAGTCAAGCTCTCCAAGATTCAGAAGTAAATTTAAAGACATGCACAGATCTCTACCAGTCATTAACGAGGTATTTACATAATTTAAGAGAAGATTTCGAAAAATTTGAAAACACAACAAAACAAATACTGCCAAATACTGTTTATCAAGCAGTTCACCATTGCAGAGGCATTAGAAAGAAAGAAGTAAATGACAGAAGTGCTCCAGACGTATCATTGAGTGCCAGAGATCAGTTTCACATAATCACATACTACACCATCATTGACAAACTTGAATCTTGCATGAAAAGAGGGGTGAAAGTATATGAAGTTGTTTCAAATAGATTTTCCTTCTACACAACACTGGGGAAGTCAGCACAACTTGACCAGGGCAAAGTCATACAAGCTTCACAGACACATCCAAATGCCCTGAGGGACCGAGCTATTGGGCTGAGGGCTGGGGACCGTAGTCTTGGGGGATAGTCAGCTCAATTGGCATAACATAGTCAATAAAGAAAATGTTCTACATCTGACTGTGGTGAGTAGTGACTACGGGTCTTAAAAGCCTTTGAGTGGCCATCTAAGATACACCTACTAGTCCCATCCTGGCTGGAGCAAAGGAGAACGAAGAAGACCAAAGACACAAGGAAAAGATTAGTCCAAAGGACTAATGGGCCACAACTACCACACCCTCCACCAGACTGAGCCCAAAACAACTAGGTGATGCCTGGTTACCACCACCAACTGTTCTGGCAGGGATCACAATAGAGGGTCCTGGACAGAGCGGGAGAAAAATGTAGAACAAAATTCAAATTCATACACACACACATACACACACACACACACAAAAGACCAGGCTTGCTGGTCTGACAGAGACTGGAGAAACCCCAAGAGTATGGTCCCTGGACACCTTTTTAATTCAGTACTGAAGTCACTCCTGAGATTCACCCTACAGCCAAAGATTAGACAGATTTATAGGGCCAACAATAACACACGCGAGGGATGTACTTCATAATCCAATTATGTATACGAGACTAATGGCCATACTAGCCCAAAGGCAAACATGAGAAGGCAGGAAGGGACAGGAAAACTGGATGAATGGAAGCAGAGAACCTGGGGTGGAGAAGGGGAGTGTCTTAGTTACGTAGTGCTGCTATAACAGAAATACCACAAGTGGATGGCTTTAACAAACAGAAGTTTATCTTCTCACAGTCTAGTAGGCTGTAAGTCTAAATTCAGGGCTTCAGCTCCAGGGGAAGGCTTTTTCTCTCTGTTGTCTCTGGAGGAAGGTCCTTGTCATCAGTTTTCCCCTGGACTAGGAGCTTCTCAGCACAGGAACCCCAGGGTCCAAAGGACATGCTCTTCTCTTGGCACTACTTTCTTGGTGATATGAGGTCCCCAACTCTCTGCTCGCTTGCCTTTCCTTTTTTTATCTCTTGTAAGATAAAAGGTGATGCAGGCCATATCCCAGGGAAACTCCCTTTACTTTGAATCAGGGATATGACCTGAGTAAGGGTGTTACATCCCACCCTAATCCTCTTTAACATAATCTAAGCTTGCCTCATTAACCATAGGCAGAGATTAGGATTTACAACATATAGAAAAATTACATCAATAACAAAATGGAGGACAACCACACAATACTGGAATTCATGGCCTAGCCAAGTTGACACATATTTTTGGGAGACACAATTCAATCTATGACAGGGAGAGTGTTGACACATGGAGGGGTTGGCAACCAATGTTAAAAAACAATTGTGTATTAACTGTTTAATGAGAAACTAATTTGCTCTGTGAACTTTCACCGAAATCACAAAAAATAATAATAATAATAATAAAGAAAGAAAAAAAATAGATTTTCCTTCATAAACAGTGTGGATATACCTGATGAAGAATGCACAAAGGCATCCAAGAAATTACTGCAGTCTTATCCCAATGACTTAAATACAAACCTTTACTGAGAAGTATGACAATTTTATTCTTACGTGAGAACTAAGTTTACAGATTCAGGAAAGACAAATTTTACTGGTGTAAGCATGTATGATTCCCTAACAGAAGATAAAATACAATCATATTTCGCAGTGTTGAAATTGCTTTATGCATATTTCTAACTTTAATGATCACAAACTGCATGACAGAGCACTCATTTTCATCCCTAAAGAGACTCAAAAACCCTCAGTGTAGAATGATTCAAGAAGGACTCAATTCATTATCCTTATTATGTATGGAAGTAGATATTGTTCAGCAGCTTAATTATGATGAAATCATTGAAGAATTTGTAAGAGCAAAGAATAGAAAGAAATGTTTTTAATTATAACATGTTAGAGATGAAAGATCTATCTAAACATAAAATATAGTAATTTGTTATAATATTTGCTTTCTGATTATTAAATTTTCTTTTATGATATCTTTCCATTTTTTCATTTATAATTATAGAATTTATTATGAAACAAGCATCAAAATTGAAGTATGAGCCATTTAAAGCAAAATTGGTGAAACTCAATTTTTTGTTGTGGGAGATGAACAGAATTTTACATTGATTGTTGAAACAACTAAGTTCACTGACTCATTTGCTTTGTTGTAGGATATGTGGAATACTCTTTTTGTAGAAAATGTGGTATATAGTAAAAATCTTAGTACCTCGCATCCACTAAAAATTTTATAATCCAGTTCATCTGATTCCACTAAAATAGCATATGCCACTTTGTGCTCAGTTGCTAATATTATAGTTGCATTTAAAAAGAAGTTACATCATGGATCGCTAAGCCACACACGCACACACCTATATATACACATCTCTTTCGAATGTGTGAATAATCAGAGGAGGGGGCACCACAGAATATCAGTGTTTAAGGGCCTCATATGCCTTAATACGGCCCTGACCCCAAGAGATAATTTCAGTTTAAGGTTTAAAGCATATCTCAGGGCAGTAGTTTCAGGGAATCCTCTAGTCTCAACCAGTCCAGTAAATCTGGACTTTTTAAGAATTAGAGTTCCATTCAACAGTTTTGTCCCATTCTGTGAGGATCCATCTAATGTGTCCCTGATCAGAAAGGTCAGTAGTGGTAGCGGCACCATCTAGTTCTTCTGCTCTCAAGGCGAGGCGTGGTTTGTGTAGACTATTAGTCCTGTAGACTACTTTCTTCCCTGAGTCTTTGG